CGCCACCGCCACCGCCACCGCCACCGCCACCGCCACCGCCACCGCCATCGCACTGACCTTTTACGGTAATAGTTTTCGACATGCTCATCCTGGTATAAGCTCTCAGCATATACACCAAGTTGCATGTATATGTACCGCCCACATCACCTGAGGTCACGTTTAAAACCAGAGTTTGATTTGATGAGGAAGTAGGAAATGAATTTGAACTTTTGATTACGACACTTCTATCTTTTATCCAGGTAAACTTGACGAATTTCTGCCATCGTTGGGCTCCCAGTGGATTGAGGATGACATTACAACTAAGTTGAATTTGCTTCCCAATCTTTGTTGTTACATTACCAGAGGCGTGGACTTCAGGTAACTCTTTTACTGTTGGTAAGAATGTAAAGATCTGTCGTGATTTTAGGGTCCTACTGAAATCATTATCACAATTGGTATCATCATCATGAACATCATCATCATCATTATATTACCCTCATCATCATGATCATGACCATGACCACCACTACCACCACCATCACCATCACCATTACCATCACCATTACCATCATCAAAACCACCACCATTACCATCCCCATCACCACCACCACCACCATAACCACCACCATCACTATGCGTCACCATCACCACCATCACCATCACCATCATTATCGTTATTATCATTATTAGGGTTCTTTTCAGGTGTTTTTGATTTAACTGATGAAAACTGAGAAGTACTTACGGTCGACAAAATCGATCGAGAATCCATATCTATCACTCCCACCTGCTGAGCGTCCTATGCATTCATAATCGCCGAATTGTTCATCATCCGTTTTTATGACTTTTTTGATATGCAGAGTCACACTTAGTTTTCTTCCGCCATCTAGAAATAACAGAAACAAACAAACCTCTCTTTTCATTGTAAGTTAAAGTTGTCTCTGGACGTTTCGGTCAAAGCAAAAACCTTCATCAGTGCATAGTTAATAGAGGGGAATGGTTAGGAAACCCTTTCGTTATAGGTCTTTGTTCAGTTTTTTCAAGCGTGGCCGTGCACAATCCTTTGTTTTACCATTGTTTTACCATTGTTGGCAATGGCTGAGTGAATAGACCAAAATCTTTCTTTTTCCTGCTAGTTCAAAATACTTAAAGATTTATAAGAGATATTTGAATACTCCTTACGACAATCCCATACACAAAGTTTATGTTAATTTATTTTGCAATTGCGGATGAGCATAAATCAAACATTGTGCATGGTCAAGACCGGTTCAACATCAAAAGCGAACAAAGACCTGATAACAATAGGTTTCCTAACCATTCCCCTCTATTAACTATGATCATTGTAACTGAAAATGTTTGCACGCGCGAGTTTTAAGGATCTTATAGCGCGCAATAGCGCTAGAATGTTATGTAGGAAGTTTTCTGGAATCGTTGATGTCTTTAGGATGTTGGGAGAAAACCACGCTTCAAGAAATAATCTTTTGTTCATGTTTGACCTCTCTGTCCATTAAGGCCATGCCACCCAGGTCAAAATCATGTCCAGTTGAGAGGGAGTATTGTGTTAACTTTAATGTTGTTAGTTATGGCTCTCCTGTGTTCTGTTCTCCTTGTTTTTTAACGATCTTTCCGTCTGTCCGTAGTATACAGAATCACAAACAGAACAATAAATTTTGTATACTACTCCTGTATTTGTATCTGCGTCTTCTCGTTTCTTAATTTTTGGGAAAAGAACGCTGCTTATGACTTTTATATTTATCAACTGTTGTTTGAATAAACGACAAAACTATGATGTCACCATTGCCTTGGTAAAGGTTGCGTGATGTCAACATTGCCTTGGTAAAAGTTGCGTGATGTCAACATTGCCTGGGTATAGGCTGCGTGATGTCACCATTGCCTTGGTAAAGGTTGCGTGATGTCACCATTGCATTGGTATAGGTTGCGTGACGTCACCATTGCCTGGGTATAGGCTGCGTGATGTCACCATGTCTTGGCGTAAGCTGCGTGATGTCACCAGGGTGGTTTTACAGTGCGACTCGCCTAACCGTGGCCACCCATGCAACTTATTTTTTTTACTAGTTAGCCAATTAGACAGCTAGAATTTGTGCACGTGAACTTACTCGGCGTTACTGCAAATATTTAAAATTATTTCTCTTTGTAACAAAACCCATTAAAAATGGCTATGAATTTGCCTAGGTGATGCCTACTTTGGGCCCTTTGCTGGCTAACACTGGACACTTTCATGGAACATTTTTTGATTGATGGAAATACTTAGCGGGAGAGGATGACGGTGTGGTGTGGTGTGGTGTGGTGTGGTATAGTGTGGTATGGTGTGGTATGGTATGGTGTGGTATGGTATGGTGTGGTATGGTATGGTGTGGTATGGTATGGTATGATATGGTATGGTATGGTTTAATATGGTGCTACTCTTGCATGATGTAACCACAGTGTTGTGTTAGTGTTGCGTGATGAAGTGGCTGCGTGATGTAAACCTAGTGTGGTGTTACTCTTACGTTATTTAGACATAGTGTGGTGTTACTCTTGTGAGATGTAAACATAGCGTGGTGTTACTCTTGCGTCATAGTGTCGTGTTAGTGTTGCATGATGTAACCACAGTGTGTTGTAACATTGCATGTAACCACAGTGTGGTGTGGTGCTACTMTTGCGTGACGTAACAGCTTTCATTAATAGACCCCTTACGTCGGAGTGTAGCTCAATTTGGAGGAATTAATAATAAGTTTCCAATTCTCAGGAGATTTAAATTTTTTTGTCATCCTCCAAATTGAGCTGCTTTGACTTCACATTCAAGTGGTCTTGCTAACTAACCCAGTGGTTGTTTTTGAAAATAGCGGCGTCCATTAGGTCCTTCATCTTTTATGTAAGTGACGTCACCAAATTTAGTCCTCCTCAAAAATGTTATCTCAATTGGATTGGAAACTGTGTCTTCCACTACACAGGTAACTTGTACCTTCTGATTTTCAAAACCAAAAAGACTAACTGGTTTAGGATTGACTATCGCAGGAGCACCTATAGTAAAGCAAGATAAGATTGATAGTAAAGCGTGCCTATATATATGCAGAAATTTTGATCCAACCAAGTATATAGTATATAACTATATCGGGTGCATTATGGGTAATAGACCCGCGGGATTCAAAGCTAAGTACCAAAGCGTTGGCTGGCCTACCGAGTGTTGTTTATTAACAGCGCTAAAGTCAAGAGGCGAGAATGTGTTCGCTTTTTAATACCTCTACACTACTACACTACGATTTTATTGATGTAAAGTGAAACATTGGAAGTTACGGTTGAGTTTAAAATCAGTTTTGAAATCGTTCTTGTTTGAAGTTTCAGTTGAGCTGAGCTCGATTCTGAACTTCGTTCTTCGCTTATTTAATATATATGTGCTCTGCTCAAAGACAGCAAAACAAAACTGACGGTAATACTTATGACAAAAGTGGTAAAAATTGTTTATGAGTTACCCTGGATAGCCGGGATATTTTGGTGTATTCATAGTCTACCGTGTTGTTGTTATTGAGTGTCAACTCAGTCAAATTGCAGTTGATGATGAACAGGCTGAATATAATTTCTAGATTAAACGGAGGTTATTCGAGAATACGCACTGTTGTTGTAAAATCTCTGATTAATGATAAAAAATAACCAATCTGAGCGCGAGAAATTTGTAATGAGTTATTGTAAAATTGACCGTTGAATTCAAATACTTACTTTGAGCAGAAGAAACGAAGTACAGCAACAACAGGAAGATACGACTGATCTTCGACATAAAATCCATGCCTGTATCTTTCTACCACTAGTATATCACAGGATTCCTTTTAACTTGCTCATTTTAACAGATCTTTTGCTTTCAGAGCTTCAACCACGAATCAATGTGACAGAGCAATGAATGTGACAGAACACATACACATTACCCTACGTAATCAATCGATGAAAATGATAATTGCTTTCAATTGATAACAATTAATGAATTAATTATCTAATTAATTAATTAACTAATTAATTATCGATTAGTATCGAGAACTTTTAAAATGCTAGTCGTACGAAAATGACATTATTCTGGAAATTGTACCATATATAACTAGATATGAAATATATTTTACCGTCCAAATTCCTTTTCGATACGAGACTGGTAAAGTTTGGCCCTTTGAGTCCGCCATTAAGCGATTGCGTTCCTGGCAACTTCGAGTGATTCAAAGGAAGTGACGTCACCACGCTTCAAAATTCACGGCTTTTCTCAAAGTGTATAATTGCAACCACATTTCAACTATTTTTGATTTAAAAAGAAGCCTTAAACCAAGACATACCTCCTTACAGATACTGCTGTAGAGTCAGTGTGGATAAAAAGAATGCCAGTTGCGCGTATGACGTCACACGTAAATTAAAATACAAGAGCAAAATSGCTGCTCATAGAAATGGCGGACGAGCTTTTAACAATTTTCGGAAGTAGAATTCAGACTGGAAAAGGTTTTTTTCGAACCAATTATTGTTTACTGGTGAACTTTATAACCTATTTGAGCATATAGAAAATCGGAGATTTTTTTGTCATTATTACCGATTGATACAGTTGATGATAAATTGATTCTATAGCAAGAGTCACGGGTTGTCGATGAATTGCACTGTTTGAATCTATATAGGAAATCACACGATCTTGAGTGCAATTCGGAATTAATAGGTACGAGTGATGTTTTAAGATTTTGCAAAATTGGAGCCTTTTAGACGATCCTTTGACCGCTCAGCKTTTGTGGGCTCCCTGTGCTCTTGGACAAATGGAGATCAGTGAGGTGCGCAAGTCACCCCAAAATCACTCGGCCTACGGTGGCCGACAACGGTCATCCAAAGTCAAAAYCACAAAATTGGTAAAATTGGTAAAGTCTAAATTCGTTTATACGCAAAAGTCAAAGTCAGTTCTTCTTTTCTCTATTTTCGCTTTATTGATTTTCGCCTTTGTCAATATTCGTCTTTCCGACTTTCGCTTAGACGTGACTTTTCCTTTTGTGCATTTTCACTTTTTGAAAAAAACCCGGCAGGCGTTACTTGCTCAATACCTAAGGGAGACTGGCTACTTGTTCTCAGTCCCCCTCGTTTTAGTACGAACAGTACGACCAGCAACAGCAAGCAACAGCCAGCTTTGCAAACATGGACTCTGTTTGGGATTCCCTTGATCATGAATTTCTTCAAAAGGACATAAGGCGTATATTTCAAGAAAATAAGGTAATGAAATATGTATTTTTTATGTACTTTGTCTCCAAAAATTGTCGTATTTTGACACCTCCATTGCTATTCACGAGAACTGTTTTTCTTTTGCAAGTGACATGCTAGTAATTTTCTGATACCATGGCATTATTTCAGATAGACAATATCGAAGCCTTTTTGAAGCTTGATAGCGAAGATTTGAAAATTCTTGGRGTGCGTTTTCACTCTGATAAGTGCAAACTACTGGGTCCGTATACGTTCCTTTGTAATTAGGGGAGGAGGGGCTGACTGATGCAAATAGGGGGGTGGGTAACTCATTTTTATGAAGGGAGAAAGGGGCCATGAAGTGGTTTATGTATGAACTGGTTTGCAAAAGGGGGAGGGCATCACATTTCTCAAATGCACCAACCCCCTTTTCGAAAGTAATGGCCCTGCAGTYCTTTTAAAGCCAGTATTATAATATGTAATTTATGATGAATGTGTGGGCCATGTGATTTTATAAAAAAATGAATGATATATTTTATGATCTCAGATAAGCAAAAGGAGCTTTTATTGAAAGAAAGGGAGGCTGGCCACGGTGGAGGTACAGTTTGTAAATCAYTTCTTTATATTGATTTTATTTAAATATATGGAATATATACTTCTTTTGATCACTAAATCAAAATTCACTAAAAGCATACATACAATTATTAATGCAATAGATGGTTTACTGCCTAAATTCCTTTCACATTGTGCCTGGCATACCTGTCCTATAGCTTAAGGTCACAAAGATATCCCAACATATTCTTGAAAATCAACCCCTTTTCTTGTTGGTTTTTGTAGGGTTACGTACTGACCTTAGAGGCTTGGAAGATGGTAAGGCAACAGATAGCCCATCACTCCCTGTACAGATAAAATCTAATATTAACCCATTTTACCTACTATATTATCCTTAGACTGGAAAAAGATAGAAGATTGGAGACGTAACAAGGCACCATTTGCCAAAAAATCTCATTCTTTGAAGTTAAAACAAAGGGTAATAGCTTTTAATCATTTTTATAATGACTGGTAATTTAAATCACTTATAATTCCAAGCAATGTCTATGACATAGTTAAGC